GTGATGTCAGTCAGCCTGGCTAGACCTTTGGCACATAAAGATGGAGCTTAATTCTCAAATGCAGAGTGACACAGGACAGCCATGTGCTCACCAAATTCAGAATCTGGGATGAAGTCACATGGCATCAGCCTACTTCACCCCTGTCACTCTGCCTTGGCTTTAGCTATCACCTGGTTCATCCCACTGGGCCTGGATTTTTCCATCTGCATTATGGGATGGTGGACAGTCTGGTCTACCCAGCGCTGGAATTCTAGCATCTTATCTGGAGCCCTCACGTTGGGGTTCCCAGAGATGAGAGAGCACCAGTCACCGAGCCTGTGTTCCTGGGCAGTGATCCTGGCTCATTTGTTTCAGGGGAATTTAAACTCTTTTCAGAAACATGATGATGGCAAGAGCTGACAGTTTCTCCAGGCCTCTCTCATACCCACTTAACGCTCCTCCGAGCTGTTTCCTGCCTTTCCACGGCATTTGTCAGGATTAAGAAATATTTGCTGTTGTTTTCTTGTGCGACAATTAATACTTTGGGGCCAGCTCTGTTGTTGGAGCTAAGTTTACTCCTTCAGTCTCATTTTCAAGTGTAATTTCTCTTTTCACCCCATACGGAATAACACTCCCTCTCCCCCTTTATCCTATTTTTAATAAAATACAACCAGGGGCCCCCCTTGGAGGGACCATTTCAGATGGCCACGCATTTTTAAAAAGGGAATGTATGAATTTGAAAATAAAAATAAAAATAAAAATAAAAAGCCAGCTCTCAGATCAGAGGCTCTAGGTGGCGTGTTCTCTGCAGTTCCAGTTAGCAGCTGGTGTCGGCCAGTTCTTTCATGTAAACAGCAATTTTCTGAGCTGGAATGGTGCTGGGGTTTTCTTTGTGGAGCCAAGAGGTTTGTGGAGAGAGCAGTGCTGTTTAGTTAAATTACGGGTCTAGATGCAAAACTGCAGCGTTGAGTTGTGAGTCTAAACACTCCCCGCTTCCCTATGTGTCACGCGCGCGCACGCACACACACACACACACACACACACACATGTTCGTACGCACATACATGTGTGCACGCACACACCACTTCCCGGAGTGCTGCCCTAAACCACAGGAGGGCATCTGTTGAGGGCAGGCTGTCCCCCAGAGGTGCAGGGCCCTTGGTGGGTATCTGGTGTCCCTGAGAGTGGGAAGCATTTGCATACTGAAGTGTTTTCTGCAACCCGTCCACCAAGAACTCCAAGCCAGGGAAATCTAAGATCAGTTTCCTAATGGGTTTGGGCTGTGCTCTCTCTCTGGAACAGATGGGCTGCTCTTTCCAACCAGGTGCACCCCGGAGGCCACGCAGGCCGGCTGTGCAGTGGCTGGCTTCCCCCCATCTTGCGTGCTTAAGTGCCTCGTCCGTGTGAAGGCTGTGGGTTAGGAAACAGTTACCCGGTGGGCTGACACAGGAAGACGACACAGGTGGCTCTCTGCCTGCATTGTGGGTGGAGAGGATTTTTTAATTTTTTTTTTAATAACGCAAAGACTGTAGAGCCAGGGAGCATTGGGTAACTTGTCCTGCTCACTGTGTCCAAGATCAGAAGAGGGTTAAAGTGTTGGGGATTCCAGATGATTCCCGGGGCAAATAGAAGCCAAGACTCAAGTATTGAGATTAGAGTTACCCCCCAAATCTTGCTCCTCCCACCTCTCTCTTCCTCTCTCTCTCCTCCCCCCCCTCTCTCTCTCTCACACACACACACACACACACACACACACACACACACACGTTCATAGAAAATTAGCTAATCTTGAGAATTTGAGGACCTCCATTTTGTCCCCTGAGAACCTGGACACAACATCCCCGCCTTCCTGCCCAGTCCTCCTTGGTGGCCTTGGAGATGCAGGGGGAATGGAGGGAAAATGTGTGATTCTAGAGTCCTTGTCTGCTTCCCGAGCCCCTCTCCAGGATGCAGATCCTCAGACAGTGCTCAGTCCATTTAGCTGTGGTGCCACCAGGGCTCCCCGAGCCAATCCCTCCCCTTCCTCCCTGTGCGCTGCCCCGGGTGGGAGAGGTCACACGCAGCGCCCTGCTGCCCCCAGCTCTGCTCCGCTCTCCTGCAGCCCAGACATTGGTGAGCAGCTAACCAAGTGTTGCACATCTTCCCACCGGCCCCTTCACGTTCGGAAGGCTTTGATTAAACCAGTTTCCTTTTAGCATTTGCTGCAGAGTGGGATCCGTCACCGTAGCTGAGCTGGTTCCCGGAGAGGATGTTTTAGTAACTTGAATACTTTGTCTCATTGGCTGGGGCCTGGGATTTCTCATCCTCCTTTGAAAAGAAAAAAAAAAAAAGTGTTTTAAATATTTTTATTTTTAGGACTGCGTAGATTTATAGCTGGGTGTCTGCCCTAGTGTTTAGGGCTCCGAGGCCTGGCAGGTTTATGGTTGTGAAGCAACAGAGGAGGGTGCAAAAGGGGACCTTTCCATTGAACCAGTGACTGGGGAATGAACATTCTGTTGACTTAGGTTATCTGGAATGAAGACACGCGGACTGTGTGATTTTTTTGGGTCCATGCGCGCATTTGGAATATAATATAAACAAGGCCTGCTCTCTGCCCACCTGCTTTAACCATGCATAAGTGAGACCATGGGGTTCCTTTTGCAGAAGGCCTCTCTAGAGTTTCTTTAAGTCGAACACTCCGCTTGTGCATGCTCTTAAATCACATTAGTATTTCTTTGTAGATATTTAGTTATGAACGAAAAATCTAAAAATGAAGCTATTGGGAGTCTTTGCTCATCTGAAATTGTATAGAGATGCATGAGGGTGTTTTTAAATGACAGTGCGAGAGGGGGCAGTGAGTTTATCAAGTTTATCAAGTTTTCTGGATAAGGTGTCTTTCTGATGCACATTTATTCTGAGCTTTGAAGGATGCATTTAGCAATGGAGTTAGAATCAGTTACAGTGACCGTTTATTTAGGATCTACCTGGTATCCCACTAGGCAGTTTGACATGTTAATTTATTCCTAATAGGAACCTTGTGTGGTAGTCTAATTATTTTATCTGCATTTGATAGTGGATTAAATTCCATCTTATATTAGAATGTAAGGTCCAGCTCCTAGCAATTAATATATCTGCTGAATGAATACATTAGGAGAGTTAGGTTAGTTAAATCCGGCGATTAGTGAGTACAGAGAGAGAGTTGAATCTGAAGGGGCCTGCTGGAGTTTGACCACAAAGGTGACCGTGATCCACCAGAGACTTAAGGAATGGATAAGAAGGGAGATGTACAGTAAGGGGCACCACTTAACAAGAGGTTCTTGGGGCTTGGTGGTGTGGGAACCAGGGGGATCTTCATAGACAGTGCTCACATGCATGATCCCATCTTATGCCCCATTCATCTGAAGGAGACAAAAAAACAGTAAACCACAGCTCTGGACACAAGTACAAACCACTGCATGGCTCTCACAGCCGACAGGAAGTTGCTAGGGCAGTGTCCCCTTAAAATAGTGCAGGAAGTCCATTATTTTCCAAGGATGTTCGCGTTTGGGCTCAGTCAGCCGGCGGTAGTGGCACACGTCCCCTCTGGGAGCCACTAAGCTGAAGCGTGAGCTCCCTGCTGCCTGGGAGTCGCCTCCGTCGTGTAGACTCATGAGAGTTCAGAGTTGGGTGGGACCTGGAGCAGGACTTCACTGTGCAGAAGACAGAACCCACACCTCAGGGTGAGTCCTGTCGGGGGTCACACCCAGACTGAGACCCGGAAGCAGGTGTCCAGTGCCTTTTTTTGGTCAGGTATTTACAGCATACGACCTGATGATTTGTACATGTATATACTATGCCTGGACTCCTCCCGAGTTAAGACCTTGTGCTTTTTATTACATGCAACGAAACCGGCAAGACCCTGTACCCACTGAGTCTTTAATTTTTTTCATTTGACAATAGAAAGAAAAAACCCACACAGCCGAAACTCAGGCTTCAAAGAATAAACTTTATTTTCTTTTTTTCTTCCTGGCTCCTTTTTACATGTTAAGATTGCTGGTCTCTGCTGCTCTGAGTAGTTTATGTCATTGAGCATCCTTCTTCCCGTGCTTTGGAACGGGTGGGATTCTGAAATGTGGCCACACGCATTCGCTTTGGCTTCTACCAGGCATTTCTGGGCTCCATGTGCCTGGCTGGACCTGTCCGTGGCATTGCGTGGGTGCCGGGAGCAATCAGGAGCCCACCTTCTGCAGGGAGGAAGGAAGGGAGCCAGGATTATTGATGCCTTCAGCACCAGGAAGAATGTAGTGAGTGCTGGGGAGGCTGGATGGCACAGTGTTAGCAGAATTCAGAGGAGGAAGAACACTTCTGCACCGGGCGACTACATAAGTGTTTAATTCTGGAGAGGGTCTTTGGATCTTGGAAGATGGTCACAACTTGCCTTGGGAGACTGAGGCTGGAGAGAGACTTAGGTGGACAGAGGTGTGGAGATCTGGGGATGAGTTGGGCTTGACTCAGTGTGTAGGGTGCATCATGGGAAATCAAGGAAGGAAGGTGGACTGGGGACTGAGCTGGGAGGGTATTTTTGTGTGTTGGCCGACATACACCACCACCCAGAACAGCTGAGTGCAGACAGTCCACACGTGTTTGAATTGCGTGTGATTTTCTTATTGGCAGGTTTTACAGGTACTTTCCAGGCAGCAGATTTTTTTGGGTACGTCGTTCTGTTTCGTTCATGTCTCTTAGGTGTAAATGGCTTTGACCCCGGGACTTTTCTCTTTGTGCTGGTGCGTCAGGATGAAGCTGTGCACTATGGCTAAGGGGGTCCTGAAAGCCACTCTGGGCCTATGGGAAGCATGAGCCCCTGGGTTGTGACCTGGAGGCCCACGATCTCCAGACTGACCGTCTCCAGCACCCCGAGGCATCAGCGGGGCCCACTCCTGCACTTCGAACCTGTCTAAAGTTGCCTTTCTAGAGAAATGCAGAGTGGGTTGTTGCACCGTCTTGGCGAGCATTGCTTCAGATAACCTGGTTAACCCGTGTCCGCCTCTTGTCATTTCTTGCAGATGGTCACAAGAACGAAGAAAATATTTGTAGGCGGGTTATCTGCGAACACGGTGGTGGAAGATGTAAAGCAATATTTCGAGCAGTTTGGCAAGGTAAGCGGTGTGTGTGGGTGCCCTGATGCGCCCAGAAGGGGCTGCGGTGGCCCCTGCCTTTGCCACAGCTATGTCCTTCAAAAGCTGTGCCCTTGAACTTGGCCGTCAAGATTGAAGTGAAATTTGGCAGAAGCTAAGATGGAGAAGCCCAGCCTGCAGTTGGCACGGTGCCCACGTGCCTGCAGGAGCAGACAGAGTGGCCTTTGAGTGCGGTGATGCTGGCATTTGCTGGCCACTTGGGGCCGGGGCTGGGAGCTGGCAGTGGCGGAAGCTGGGAGGGATGCGGGCCTGAGTCACAGGGCAGGGGCTCCTGCAGAAGCTGCTGGAAGCCTGTGAGGCGGCTGGCTTCCTCTGTGCCTTTCTGAATAACTGGTGGAGAGAGGGGGGCTCCCTGGGGCCCTTTGCAGCTAAACCCTTCCCTGTCAAGTGCCCAAGGAAACCCAGGAAGGATGCTGGGTCTGTACCTGTCAGAATGTCTGGGAGGCAGCAGCAAAGTTACCCCCGGGGTTATGCTGCTGGAACCTGCTGAGAGCAACCCGGAATGCCCCAGATCAGTCAGGAAAAGGAGTGTGGGGGCGTGTGTGCCAGACAGACGGAATCTGACAGACAGACAGGATGCGGAGCCATGGTGCTGTGTTTATGTAATTCAGCCTCTTCCTAGTTGGTGGGGGAGCCGATGCCTCAGAGAGGGGGCTCTTCCCAAGCATGACATGCTGCCTCAGGAAGCTGCCTCAGGGCCCCAACAGGGCAGCTTGTGGGGGATTGACCCCGTTGGACCCCCTGTGTCGCAGGAGGCTGGCATGCCAAGTGTCTGAGCTTTCTGCTTCCTGCATCTGTGAGTGGTTGTGGGCATTATCCTGGGAGCCAGGTGTGAGATGGCTCCTTCTGCACATGTCTGTGTCCCCTCTTCCCCCCCAACCCCTGCTGAGGGGCTGACATGGCAGGGCTGTGTCCGTGAGACAGCCCTGCTCCTATTCTAAGCTTCCTCGCTCCACCCCTTCCCATCGCTGTCATGCTTGTCTTGGGTGGCACAAAGGTACTGTGCCCACTGTGCAGTTTGAAGGTTCTGTGCTTATTCATTTGCCCAAGGTGATGGGCAGCAGTGACCCTGTCCCAGGTGTGTCCAGTTGTGAGCTGCTGGCTGGGAAAAGTGCCCTGACCTCTATTTTAGCCTCTAAATGGAGATTTTTTTTTTTGTCTTCGGTCCTAATAAATTTCTTCATGGATGGAGAACATGCAACAAAGAGAAACCAGCCTCCTCCAGCCCAGCCTTGCATTCACAATGGCACTTAGCTGCCCTTCCAGGTCGGTCACGGATGACGCCTTCCCTGCGGCAGTGTCTGCTGCGTCGGTTGGGGGCTGGTTCACTCTGGCTGATTCTGAAGAATAGCTGAGTGTATTGGTGGTGGGTGATCCTGTGCATTATCATTCTTCTCTTCCAGACGGATTGAGAGCACCAGGGGGGATGTGCTCATTGCCCAGCCCCACCCTGCTTGGAAATAATTAAAAGAGACAAGTCCAGCTCGCATAATGGAAGGCTCTGGAGTGTGAGCCTCTTTGCTACCGTTCCGCCTTTCAGACAGGCCAGGGTTAGTGTTTGCAAACATGAGGTGGGATTGCTTTTCGAGCCATAACCTGCCTTGGAATCTCATGGGCCTGTTTGTGGTGTCAGGGAAGTTGATGCTTCCCAGATGGGCTGTTAGCATATTCCAGACAGGCTTGTGCTTGCACATTTCTGCACATTCCCAGCTCTGGGTTTCTTTCTCTTTCTCTTTTCCTCTCTCTTTCTGTCTTCCTGTCGTTTTTTTCATTAACACTCACAGTTGTGACCCAATATGCCAGCAGTGGGAGGCTCTTCAAGCTTTGGCCAGGCCCAGGGAAGCAACCATTGCTGCCCGAGAACACTTGTACCCTTGTCTGGGAGGCAGTCACACTCTTTGCTGGCCAGGCCCTCAGCCGGTCTGAAGCCATTTGGTTATTTTGCAGTAACATTTGTGGATTCCAGCAGGATGGATAAACTTAGAAAGTGTTTCATTAAATGACTAGGGAGGTGCCTGGCTGGGCATGGCTAGTGTTTGAGCGTTGACCTATGAACTAGGAGGTCTCGGTTCAATTTCCGATCAGGGCACATGCCTGGGTTGCAGGCTTGATCTCCAGTATGAGGTGTGTAGGAGGCAGCCAATCAATGGTTCTCTTTCATCATTGATGTTTCTAACTCTCTCTCCCTTTCCCTTCATTTCTGAAGTCAATAAAAATATCTACACTAATGAAAAAGAAAGATGCAAATTGACTGTACCTTTGTGACACCCACCAGCTAATCAGGAGTGAACATGCAAATTAACCCAACAAAGATGGTGGGTTAATTTGCATACACAGGCAACAATGCCACTGCCCAGCTGCTCTGGGCCTCTGGATAGTGTGGGAAGGCGGAAAGGCGGCTCTAGGCCACAGCAAAGGCAGAAAGGTGGCTCCGGCCAGAGCAAAGGTGGTGCTGGCAGCCACAAATCTTGCACAAATCTTCATGCATCAAGCCTCTAGTATTTTAAATAAAAAGGCTAGAGAGGCTTTTGAATGTATCGAAACCACAATACTCTGTGTGCTCATGTTTTAGTAGCTTGTTTCATACATTTGTGGGTCTGTCTTCAGAATAGCTTATTCCTCCTTTGGCTGGTGGCTGGTGTCTCCTTGGGTAGGCCCATCGCCTCTCAGGATTCTGATATAATTCAGTTGAATCCAAATGATCAAAGGCGAGAGACTCTGCTTGTGGGCCTTAGAGGCAAAGACTTGAAGGGAGGTAACGGGTAAGTTGACACACACCCCTGAAGTATACAGAAACATGTTCCTGACTCTGTAAAGTTGTTTGGGGCTCTTTTCAGTTGGTTTATTACAGATTAAGGAGTGTAGTTTTATTATTTAGTGAGTTCATACTCAGTGTTGGATACTGGGTCAAGCCATTGACTTATTTCACATCATTTAATTTTCCTCCGGGAGGCTGATGGAGGTACTGCCCAATTTGTAGATTGTTAAGTCTTTGACTCAAGGTCACAGCACCCTGAAGGATAGAGTGGGATGCAGACTCCCCCTCCAGGCTTGTCTGGTAACAGAACCTGAACTCTGGGCCCCATTCTCTGCTGATAAAGCCAGAGGATATAGGGACAGGAGATGCAGGGGAAAGGGAAAGCCCCCTTGTGTGTCTTGGGCAGTGCTGGGCACCTGCACGTGCACTGCCTCACTGCACGGTGGGTTTGGCATCATCAGCCCATCCGAAGAAGGTGGACAGTAAGGGTCAGAGAGGTTAAGTCACAGCTTGATCACCCAGGTAAGGCAGTATAACAGCCAGAACTCACACCCTCCCTCCTCTTTCTCTGAGTCTAGAACTTTCCATCCTTCTCCAGTTTCCATTCAGGGTTCGCTGTTCTCTTTTTAGGTTTCCCTCGCTGTCATTCCTCTCTCCTCTCCAGCATCCCTTCTTGCTCAAGGTGGCAGCTGCTTCAACTGTTTATTTCAGGTGGCAATCAAGATGGCTAGGACTGCTATCATGGGACTGAGCTAAGGGAGTTTAAATGTCATTACTGTAAGTGGAGTGGGTGTGGAATGACACACCGAGAGCTTTAAATAACTCAAACCCTTTTGTGTTTTCCTCCTACCTTTCTCCCAGAAGATTTACCCCCACCCCCACCCCAGATTAGGGATGTCTTTACTTGTTTATATTTCAGATGAGATCACGAAGTGTGGCCATTGGCCTAAGGTTTTGTCTGACTTGGATGGCCACCCCCACCCACTGGGTGGCAGCTCTGATGTTGTCATTGGATAGAAGTGAGGTAGAAGTTATTCTGAGCCCTGGTGCTGGGTCTAACCCCACTGTGATACCTGAACAAGCCGTTTCCTTCCTGGCCTCAGTTTCTCACCGAGGGAAGGGATTGAAAGAGTTGTCATGGACAGACAGAAAACATTTTTGGCTCTGCAAAGCATATAGTCTATGCCACAACTACTCACTTCTGCTGTTGTGTGGAGAAACAGCCATAGCTAACAATTGGGTGTTGCTGTGTTTCAATAAAACTTTATTTACAAATACAGGTGGTGGGCCGCATTTGGCCTGTGGGCCATAGTTTGCCAGCCGGTGGACTAGAGTATTCTTAAGGTTGGGTTTCAAGCTTGAAAATTTAATAAATTTGGAGAGTGTTTGCACATAGTTAGGTGGAAAGATAGATATCTAAAGACTGTAACCAAAACTGGGTATTATCAATAGAGTAATGAGCATGATATAATAAGCAAAACAGTCATACGGGTGGCTGAGTTCATTGCTGGGTTTCAGATGCAGGGACGCTGAGGATTCTCTATTTGGAAACAGCTGCTGTTTAGAAGTGGGAATCTTCATCCTCTGGATAAGAGCCAGCAGAATTGTAGAGTATTTTCAGCTCCCTATTACACATGTGAGATCTAACTTAACGAAGACCCAGAATTTGTGAAGTTCTGATTTTATTATGAAGATTCCTTGAGTTGATGTTTCTGAATTAGAGGGATGTGTGCTTTGTGCTTGGTTTTTTTTAATGTCTTTTAAAATTTGATTTCCAAGGCTGTCAGTCAAGGTAGGAAGAACATCTGTCAAGTCGATGACAAAACTGATGTTGAGAAAGGTCAGTAAGTTGTTCAAGATCACATTTCTGCACATCCAACCCTTACCTCTTTCTGCTGTTCATTAAACCTTCCCTCCCATTTTAGCCTAAGCAGCCCCATGCTCAGAGGGAGCGGGTTTGGTTCATTTGTCAAGACCGTTGATATATGGTAATTTATTTTACTGCTTGAGGTTTCCTAGTGGACGTTATCTGAGCTCATGATTTGATACATACAAGAATGATGTATACAGACCATCCCAAAAAATGGCACGCAAACGATGCTCTAGATACGCGCACACAGGCCCTGCCGATCCACCGGCCTGCCTGCCTGCCACCGCTCTCCCCACACCGCCATCCCAAATAACTAACGCAGCTCGGTAATTA